GAAGGCAGCGCAGCCATGCTTCCGTCCTTCAGTTACGTGACTGAGCACACCGGCTTCTGTGGTACGATCAAAAACTCGCCCAGTGATTTCATAGTGACAGAAATCGAGGGATTTCTGAGGGATACCCGGGTTGAATCGCTTCAGAAAGGCGGCGAAGCGCCGCTGGAGCAAAGGATCCCACGCCCGCAGCAACCCAATGAGCTGAGCGTGGAGCCTCCCGGCCCGTGTGCCGAAGGCTGTCCCGGTGCTGTGCCCTGTTCTCCGGAGCAGGACCCGAGCAGGGTAGGAGGCGACTGTTCAGCATCCCCTAACAAAAAACAGCGTGAAGGTGTACCCGAACCGAAACCTGGCCTTGAGGAAGGCCGTATACTGGATTCCTTACTAGGCAAACCGATGAGCGAACGGCTTCATCAGTTTGTCTGTGGCCTGAAGGACACATGGGACCTGGACAGTGGTGCCGGGGGCGGCGCTGCGGAGTTCTCACTAGGACCCGTACTGGACAAGAAAAACCGAGCTAGTCTGCACAGTGCTGTCAGGCAGAAATTCCCCTTCCTGGTCACTGTTACGAAAGGCAATGAGATGATTGTGAAGGGGAATGGTGATTACAGAGAACTTTGTCAGCTGGTGACTGAAAAGGAAACAAGTGATTTCTTTAAATTTTTAGATGCAAAGGTAGAAAATTCTACATTTTCTTTCGAGCCAGATGGAGACAAAGAGCACAGAAAAGTAGTTCACCACTTTATCAATAGAAAGTTTGGAAAGCTTTTAGAAACAAAGTCATTTACTGTGTCAGATGTCACTGGTCAACCAAATATGTCAATAATGGTGCGATTTCGAGAAAAAGGTTGGTCCAGAAAAAGGTCTGCTGGTGGCTTCAAGGAAAAACAAGACTTTTATACAGGTAAATACTATATTTTTAGTGAAAGTGGCAGGTATTGTGTTCGTTAGTATAGACTGAAATTCAGAATCGCTTTTATATGACATCTGGGCCTGGATGACCCATTGTTTATGCTGAAATAAATCATTATTAATGCAGTGTAGTTGCATCACTGGAGACTGAGGTGGATGAATCGAGTTACTGCAGTGATGTTACAGAAACTGTTCAGTGATACTGATTGCACTTGTTTCGCTTGTTGGACTAACTGTGTGTTACTCCCCTTGAGCTAGATTTCCCTTGAAAGTAGTTGGGGGATTTTATAAGATACATCTAGATGTTGGACAAGTCAGTAAGGTTAAAGGTGGTTTATAGTCATTCCTTACAGCAGTTGATTTCTGATATAGAGAATGTTTCTAGTTATAAGTCAATACATATTTGTTGAATGGTGTGTGTTTATCAGGTACTATTTTTAAAGGCAGCAGGGGTTTGTGGTTGTTCTAGGAGTTTTGTGTATTGTGTATTTTTCTTTCAATACTGAACAAATTCCATTTCCTTTAGTATTGTGGGATGGGAGGACTGTTTCTTTGCAGTCTCCGAGCTATTATAGTTTGAAGGGATGAACCTGCCCATCTGTCATGGCAGAACACCTGTATGATTTACAAGTGTGTATTCCTAATAATTCTGAGATGATTGTTTCAGCTTTCACCCTTCAGAAAGAAAACCTAGAAACACTGGAAGCAATCAGCTTCTTGGCTGCTGAACTTGGTGTTCTTCCTTCAGACTTCAGTTATACTGGCATCAAAGATAAGAAGGCCATTACTTACCAACCTATGGTTGTGAAGAAGGTGACACCTGAGAGGTACTTACAGTCTGGGTGCATTCAGTTTAGCACTTATTTTTATGTGTTAATAAGTATTAACATGGTACAATCTTCTGAAATGTTCTTATGGATGTGTCTTCTCCTGTGTTACAGCACAGTGGAAATGGCTTTAATATTTTGTGGCTTTAGGGAACATGTAGCTTAGCGCTGAAGTCCCCAGTGTTGGAATTTGGAGAAAAGTCTTGCTCTTCTTTGTGTTTTTCATAATACAAATATTTCATATCATCTGGGACAGTATCCTTCCAGTTCATGCTCATGGGATCCACTTTTCAATTTTTTAAATACCATCCACTAACTGGAACTGAGAAGAAGCCAGTAGTACATGATGCGACAGGTTTCCACGTGCTGTCAACGTTTTGTCTTGTGGTCCACATTCAAGAACTTTAAAACGTTTATATGGCTACAGAACTAAAGAAAATCATTACAAATATACTTTGGACAGATGCTGTCTCTGAGTGTTAAGTATCAACTTCTATGGTATTATCCAATTTAGAAACATGAGACTATAAATAAAGAAGCTATCACCAAACCTGAGGGCAGAAAATGCATTCTGAATAATGTGTCGATAATACAAGATGTGGCTTTCCATTTCTCATTTTGTTACTTTATGTAGCCAATTCAGTGGATAAATATATATATATAAAGTTCTGACATAGTAACTGTAAAAAATTACTAGAATCAAAACTATAACTTCCTTCTTCCCCAGCTTTAACTTTCTGGTGAGTTTTAGTCTTAGTAACAAAGTACACTTTACAAATAAAGGGAAGTAGAATTTATCTTTTTAGGATTTATTACTGACAGAAATAGATATCAATAATAAATTTCCACTGCAAAGTAAGCAATAAGGCCAATGGTTCAAGAGATAATTAGCAAAACTTTGCATTAATGTTTAAATGATTAAGCAAAACAGTTAAATGCTTCCAAGCCACAAGCATAATGGGGAAAAGAAAATTTATAAATAACTAGTTTATAGAGTTGTGAAAATATTGGTTAGAATGTAAGCTCTTATGCGGAAAGTTCCTTTGGTTTGAATGACTGTTACTTATACGTAAGAACAAAGAGATTGAGTGAATACTTTGAAGAGCAAATACTTGAACTGTCAGCTGCATTCCCAATTGCAAGCACACCCAGAGAATTGCTGCACTGAGTTTGTTTCTGTTAAGGCTGATCAAGAAAGAGCAATTGTGTTTTGGAGTCTGCAAGAGCACATTACTTTTTCTTTTTTTTTTCTTTTTTTTTTTTTTTTTTTTTTTTTTTTTTTTTTTTTAAATGAAAGGCAGATTTTTAGACTGAAGAGTAAATTATTTTCAATAAAAAGTGCAAAATTCCATGCAGTTGCCTTGAGAAAGTTCAGTGAATTGCTTAATTCTAATATCTGTCACACTACAGACTGTAAATGCAAATGAAGCAAACATCGAAAAAGTATTTCGGGACTATAAAATATAAGACATATCTCTGATTTGATTTTTCTCATAATAATTTCTTTTAAATCCCTTTTTTTCCCTAAGTGTTTTTAATTCTAGTGCAAAGGTGAAGAAGAAGTTTATTAGAAGTTGGATAGCTTTAGTAAGGGTGGTTCATAATTTCTCCCAATTATTTATGCAGGTTGAAAGAAATTGGAAGCAAAATGGAAAAAAAGGGCATCAGAATACACAACATACATTCAGCATGCCAGCACCTGAGACTTGGTCAGCTGAAAGGCAATCACTTTGATATAGTTGTGAGAGATCTTAAACACCGTAGTCATGACTCTTCTGCAGATTTGAAAATGAGAATATCTGAAGCAATGGAAAATGTTAAGGTAAAAAAGCCTTGTGGTTCCCAATAGTGAACAGAGTTTAAATTCTGTGCTGTAAAAAGCAAAACAAAACTTTTAAAGAAAATGCTTGAAATAGCACAAAATATCACAGATAGCACAAAAACTGTTTCCCAGTTTTGATGCTTTTGCAGTTTCATGTCTTTGCTGCATTATTTAAGGAATCAGAACTAAAGCTGCATTCCAAGGAGGGACCATAAGTGAACTAATTCTTTGTTACAAACTGCAGACCCCAGAGTGGTGCAGCAAGACAGATGGGAAATTTAGAAGCAGATTATGGATTTATCAGCTATTGTTGCACAGACTTAAGGCCAACCGAAGTGATGGGTTTTGCTGTGGCAGTTGACAGGGTGAAAGAATATAGTTACACATGTCAACTGATTGCCTCTTTTGGTCATGTGAGGACCATGCATGGTAGGCCTGGGTGAAAAACTTTAGTGACATAAATACATGTCTGTAGCAGAGAAAGAAGATTCCCTGAAATGCAGTGGATTTTGATTGCTGTTGTCCTCTCTCTTTGAAGAAAACCCTATAATCAGACATTCTTAAACCATGAATTTCCATGAGTTGCTACTCATGGAAAGGAAAATTTTTAGGTGTTTTGTACAGTGGTAATTTTCTTACCCAACTTAAGTTAATAACCATAATATAAATCACTTCAAGAACATTAATCCAGCAATAAAGACTTTAACAAAAACTACCCAATATGCAAAACCGAAGTACATTATATGTATTCCGGAAGTTACTTTTATTACTGAATAAAGCATTCAACTGCTACTTTAATGCTTCTCCCTCTCTGCTCCACCTGACTTTTTGTTTTGTTTTGTTTTTTGTTTTTTGGGTTTTTTTTTTGTTTTGTTTTGCTGTTTGGAAAATGAACACAAATTCATATGGTTGTGTGTCTTGCTTTATTAGATTTAGCTTACTGGTCAGATGAATGACAAAACCAGCATGTGTGTTAAACCAAAATGTGGATTTCTTATCTTCCATGAAAACAAAATCTCTTATTGGACCTCTGGATGTCCAAAGCAAGGTTATAGAATTTGAACTGAATAACCATTTCCAACACAAATACCATATGTTTTTGGTGGGTTTTTTTTGCTTGTCTACTCCATGCTTGGTTACTGTTTTCTACAAAAGGATGTTCTTATTGGGTCACATGGCTGTGATTTTACTGCCCACATACCACCTACAACTCATCAGGAGACTTAAAATCCCAATTAGCAGAAGTGCTCACTCTTGATCTTTACTATCGTAATAGTAATAGAAAGGATCTCATGTGAAAAAAGATGAGTATTTTCAAGAGAAAATGTCCAACAGTGGTTCCTGTTCATTACCTGTGCTAAGCTTCATTTGCTTGAGTAGGGATTTCAGAATTTGGTGCACATAAAAGCTCAATTAATTTGAATGTATTTATAATGATTTACTGTACAGAAATAATTTTGTTTCATTTACCTATTTTTTTATGAAAGTGAAGACAATGATAGAACTTGGTTGTTTTTTTAGATGCTTCTAGATTAGATGCTAAAATACTGTAATGAATCCTAAGTTACGATTTTGGTACATATTACTTTTGATTTTAAAAAAACAGTTTATATGCATTTTGGATGTAAATGTAGATGTATGTGTGTTGTATGCTTAGTCTTACTAATTGTACCTGGCACTTCCATGCTTTTAACATATTTATTCTTTATCTTTTTAGACAAAAGGTTTTGTAAATTACTATGGACCTCAGCGATTTGGACAAGGACAAAACGTTCAGACAGATCAAATAGGATTGGCTTTACTGAATGAAGAAATGGTATTTTCATTTTGCAATCTAAGTAGTTACTGTAAAGTTAATTTTGCGTTAGTGTTGCAGTATCTGGTGCTGGAGTTGACCTTCCCAGTGATGAGTTTCATTTGTGAGATAAATCCATATATGTGCTGGAAATAATTGCCAGATCAGTTTTAACAAGAACGAAGATCTTCATACTGAAACAAAACATCTTTTTTTAAACAGTAGGTGCAGCTTTAAATAGTTCAAGAAGTAATTTTTATATCTATAATTGGTATGTGATTGTGATCGTCATCATGCCCTTTGGCAGGAAGGTGGCTACATTCCATAAAAGGTTTGAACACTAAATTAAGCAATCTTTATACAATGTTCACTCATGGTCCAGATTGCCTCCTGACTTGTAGCCTGATATCCTGCTGGGGATCTGTATACATTTTTAAAATGTCACAAGTTATTGCCTAGAGTCGTAGGAAATGATGTGGTTTTTTTTCAATACCAGAGTAACTTACATGCTATATAGAAGAGATTGCTGCTTTCCATTATTCCTTGGCTACTTTCCCAGCCTCTTAGTTCTGAGCGATTGCTCTCATGTAAGCTAAGGAGACCTTATTTCTTAAGTAATAATTCATAAGGCAAGAGCCATATACTTTTCAATGTATATGGTGTAGTACTTGGCACAGGTGTAAAACAGAATCAAACATCACAACGTCAAATGAATACTTGAGTATCTTTTTCATATAATCTTTTTGATTCTGAGAAAAGTCAGGAAAACTTACTCTTCAAATATAAGAAGAATCAAGGTTTGCAGGCAGCCCAGAAAAGTTACTGTTGATGTATCTCATTTTGAATGAGAGTTGGTATCCATGTGCCAGTCCCTGAAGGATAATGATTTAAATGTCTAGTCTTAACTCAGTTACTTTTAAATTTAAAACATGTGGGACCTCCTGTTTGTGTTAAAAATGTGCTAGTATGGTCTTGTACGATCCTGTGTGGAGGAGGACAAGAGCCACGTGTTGTGAATTGGTGTAAGTGCTAGCAAATTATATGGCTCCACTGGGGTTGCAAGTAGCAGGGGTTAGCATGGTGTTTTCCCTGTCACAGTGTCATCTAATCTAATACAGACCAGTATAAAAAAGATTGTTGTCCCTCTGTGTGAGACTGTGAGAAGTGTTCAGTCTGTGTTTTGCATAAAATATGCATGTGGAAAAGAAGGAACCTTCCTGTTCAGGATAGAATGATGGCATTACAAAGTGAAGGAGTTCTAACTGGATGTTCAGGAAGAGTGACTTCTCATAGAGCTGTGAAACCTTCCTTGTGTCTTCTGTGTGACTAAACCCTTTCTTTAACTTGAGAAGGAATGGAACCATATTAGTTTGCAGTTCATGGCAGCTTTTGTGAAAGGAAGAATTTGACTTACCTTGAAGAACTGATATAATTTTGAGCGCTTGCAGAATGTGTTAACACAGAATTGGATGCATGACTGTTTAGTTGACAAATAATTACATTTGAATGAAAAAAATTACAAATTACTAATATTGTTCTTTAAGGTGAAAGCTGTAAAATTATTCTTCACACCCGAAGATACTGATGACCCTGTAAACAACGCAAAGAGATACTTTCTTCAAACTGGTATGTCCAGTTAAATTGTCTATGTACTTTTTCAGGGTCAGTATTGTGAGGGAATAAGGTGTTGCTGCTCAGAGAGATGCTTCTTATTTTGCTGCTACTTTATATGTCTTATAATTTATTATGTGGAACTCAGCAGAGTTCCACAGTTAAAAACTAGGTGAGGATGAGGCCCTGAATGTGCACGACAGTGGAAAGCTAATGTTCTTCAGGTGCAAGACAGTATAGAAACAAACACTGTATAGCATAATGCTGGAAAAGACTAATATAATTTTATCAAAGCAGTTTTATCCTCCTTCCATCTGTCTGCTTTTGGAATCTAAACTTCTCCCTATTAAAGGAAGTACACAGGAATGAGGCACCCAAGTTATACTCAGCACTTAACACATGTGGGCATCTAATCTTACATCTCTTTAATTATTTATGTATCTCTTCCATGCTTTCCTGTGATCTGCTTGCTTTCTGTCTTGAACTGAAATCAACAAAATATGTCAAAAGCAGAAGTGTGCTGAGTAAAATGCTGTTTGTCATATTTATAGTTCAATTTAAGTTTCTCTCCAGAACTAAAAATTTGGAGTTGCTCTTGACTTCAAATACATTTCTTCTTTTCAAATATTCTACATCTATTAGCTGGCCTATCACTGTAGATTGACAAAACAACTATGACAGCTGGACGTGAAGAAAGAATTCTTTACAATGAGGGTGGTAAAACACTGGCACAGGTTGCCGAGAGATGGTGGATGTACCATCCCTGGAGGCATTTGAGGCCAGGCTGGATGTGGTTCTGGATAACCTGATCTAGTTGAAGATTTCCCTGCCCATTGCAGGAAGGTTGGACTAGATGGCCTTTGAAGGTCCCTTCCAACCCACATTAGTCTATGATTCTATGACATACAGCTTCAAGAGACACAGATACATGTTTAATTTCACAAAAAAGGTAAGATGAATCATTCTGTGCTGTACATTGCTGTATGATGCATGGAAAGACATTGATGTGGACTCTGAAAACGGCTGCTTGCCTTTTCCGGAAAGCAAAAGGTAAAACGCTCTGCAAAAGGCTTCATCAGGTAATCACTTACAATGAGAAAATACGTAAACCATAAAATTTTAAACTTACACATTCATATATTGTAATACAAATCTGATTAAGTGTATTTTCATCTTGGTTGAGGCTCAGGCTTCCCAATGGCCAATGCAATTTGTACCTTTAAAATAAAGGCATGGGTTTTACCCTGTGTGAATACATTGATGTGAAGTAGAGGCTTAATGTTCTGTTATAATTTCAGTTACCTGGTCTAAAAAAATCCCCTTTAGACTGACGAAGTAAGCTTCTAAAGAAAAAAAAAACCCAACACCCCAAAACCCTCCAACAGAATACCAACCCCCGCCCAACAAAATACCAAAACCCAAATGCAATTAGACTGAATAGCTGCTAGTTTAGTTTATACTGCATGAGCTAGAATAGAATTCATGGGACTGTGTTGATAGGCAATTGGTCTAACACAACACATCGAAGGAAAGGAATTAATAACCTAAAGGTAAGCATAAAGGGGTTAGACTGACACCTTTTTTCCCTAGCAGATTATTTTATCTTCTTAGGTGTTTTTTTTCCCTGGCAGGTAATATGTGAAAAATCAGGGAGTACTTACACGGTTATTTTTGTTTTTATCAGAAGATGCAAAGGGCGCACTTGTGATGCTGCCAGAATTTAAAGTGAGAGAGAAGATGTTGCTACGAGCTTTACATCGCTATGGTGTAAGTCATGAAGGCTGTACCAAAGGATGGCTCAACATTCCTCATTCCATGCGCATATTCTATGTCCATGCTTATTGCAGTAAAATTTGGAATGAAGCAGCATCATATAGGCTGAAGATTTATGGTTCAAAAGTTGTTGAGGGTGATCTTGTTTTCTCAGAAGAAAATGATGAGAATATTTCCCTGAATGACAAGGTGAGTCTTCACAAAATAGTTCTTGTAAAAAACCACAAAAAGCTTAATGCACTTGAGTACATACTTGGACATACTCTAATGCTTTTATTTTGGTTCATTCATTAAAATATTTAATACGAGTTCCAAAGATGAAAAAAAGGTGATGTAGCTTTTTTTTTATTTACCATAAATAGGCATATAAACTAGATTTATGCTAGCAGCTTTTATCTGTTCTGATTGTTCATTTTATTCATGTGAGAAGATGGAACAAAATGTCAGAACTGGTATCTGTAAGAATTTAGCCTGCATGCTGTATCATGCTTGTCTTAGGATCTGACTGAGGAAAACTTCCCGAGTGGACTCTAGGTGGGCCTATGTTACCAGTCAGTTCAATCTTGAGTCTTTCTCTCCAGGTCAGACCTTCCCATTAGATATATTAATGGATGGTGAGAGATGCAGCAGGAAAGCTCATGGTGAAATTTGGCCTCAGGCTGAACTGGTAATCTTGTCGGAGCTACACACTACACAGTAAAAGCATGTTTAGCACAATTTCACTTACTCAGGCAATTACATGGATGGCAGGTCTAAACGGTTAGCAGCAGTTCAAAAAATGCAGCAGTCTTCTTGTGGAAAGGGCAAAGGAGTGCTTCTGCTTGCTCACAGCATGGCATGGGTGCTGTGCATGGAGCCATGGGTGAGCCAATGAGCAGAAGCCAGCAGTGGACTGTCTGGTCCCAGGTCTTGCATGTTGAAGTCCATTCTGAAGCAATTTCTCCTTTCAGGGTTAGCGTACCTTTCATGTATTGTGGAAATAGTTGAGTCTCTTCTGCCGTGTAACAAGCAATGGGACAAGAGGAAACAGCCTCAAGTTGTACCAGGGGAGGTTTAGATTGGATATTAGGAAAAATTTCTTCACTGAAAAGATTGTCAAGCATTAGAACAGGCTGCCCAGGGAAGTCACATTCCTGGGGGTACATGGTGCTTAGGGACATGGTTTATGTCCCTAAGACTTGGAAGTGGACTTGGCAGTATTAGGACTTGGCAGTATTAGGTTTACTTGATTATCTTAAGGATATTTTCAAACCTAAATAATTCTACGATTCTTTCTCCTGATCATCAGACAAAGCATAGAATTTTGCAGTGTTTTACTGGTTAAGAAACAGGTGTGTACCTAGGCAGAATGTATCTGATTTCTTTTGGGTGAACATCTTACAAGTTTGAAAGCAAGAGCTACTAAATAACCTCCAGTCCCTGTAGAATGGCTTCTGTTTCCACTGCAGTTTTTCTTTTGAGAGTGAATACTAATAAAACAAGTAGATCAAATAAAATGAAAAGCAGAGGTAGCAAATTCAGTATTGAGTTACTGAGTTTAATATAGCTCTTCCTATTTAATATATTTTTCTTAGTTATTTTTGCTTTTGCTGATGTAGCACAAAATTGCATTGACACAGTTAACTTCAAACTCAAAGAATATGAGCTTGGAATGATAGTTTGCGAAGTAGTGGTAGCTAGCATCAGGAATTATTTAATTAAATGCCATTTACCAGTAAACAAATTACTTTATATTAAGCATCTCTACTGTTTTTCATACTGAAATAGATTATTGTCTTTGTAGTAGTCAAATAACCTTAGAATCCTTTATGAGTTTGGGAGTGCAGTGCACAATTCCTAAAATAGTGGTTGTTTTATTTTTAAAAAAGCTTTTTTTTCTTCTTTTAATGTCTTGTCAGGTTCATGTAGTCGCTGCTGCAGAAGAGTTGGCTAACAAATACTCTATAAACCAAGTAAGTCTGTATGAAAAGTTCTGAGTTGTTAATTTCTTTATTTGTCTTGTTTTAAAAATAATGTGATTAATTTAACTGATGCAGTCTTCCTTGCCAGAAAGCATGTTAAAGAAAATACATGTGAACTAATCTCCGGTCTCATAACAAACTTGTTTACTTTGTAGTGGAAGTATGTACAGTGTCATTTGCAGTGTGGCAGTATTTATCTTGAAGCTGAATGTAAATACTTAGAAAACTTTTTCATTCTACTGGGGAAAACACTCAAGAGTAGCTGACATTCTAATTTTTGAGAGTGCAGGGTGCATAGTTGTGAAGTTTTACAAAGGCATCTTAAAGTCTTTATTGCAGTATCTTTCCCAACAAGCAAGGAAATTCATGTTAGTGTATTCTAGTTTGTTTTGGGAATCCTGATACAGTGATTATTTTTCCTTGAATGCTTTCATTGCATCCAAGATACCTGCCTTATACAGCTTTATTTCACAAGAGAAGCTCTTGTTTTACTATGTCATGCCCCTAAACACAAGATTTAGACACATTTTGAGTTGTAATCTGTCCTGGGTTCAGCTACAGCAGTCATTTTTCTGCTTCTTAGTAGCTGGTGCAGTGCTGTGGTTTTGACTTTCAGTCTGGGAACAATGCTGATAACACCGATGTTTTTAGTTGTTGCTAAGTAATGTTTACTCTGACCAAGGACTTTCTCAGTCTCATGCTCTGTCAGGGAGGAGGGGAAGCCAGGAGGAAGCAGAGACAGGACACCTGACCCAAACTGGCCAAAGGGGTATTCCATACCACAGCACGTCATGCCCAGTATAGAAACTGGGGGGAGTTACCCGGAAGGCCCAGATCGCTGCTCGGGTCGGGCTGGGTATCGGTCGGCGGGTGGTGAGCGGTTGTGTCCTTTTCCCTTGTTATTTCCCTTATCATTATTATTGGTAGCAGTAGTGGTTTGTATTATACCTTAGTTACTGGAGAGCTGTTATCTCAACCCGTGGGAGTTACATTCTTCCGATTCTCCTCCCCATCCCTGTAGGAGCGGGGGGAGGAAGGAGGGAGAGAGTGAGCGAGGGGCTGCGTGGTTCCGAATTGTTGGCCGAACTTAAACCACGACAGTTCTTTGTGGCACCCAGTGTGGGGCACGAAGGGTTGAGATAACAACAGATCTGACCAGAGTGTGTTTAATCATATTTGTGATAAGCATTTATTGTTTCAGATTAATAGTCACTCATCACAATGTTGATTTATTTGCTCTGTGAGTTGTTGCGCTTGATCTCAGAGTATACATTTATTTAAAGGGAATTTGGTGGGATTTATTTCAAATATTTTTTTTTTTTTCTTTGAAGGTGGTTCTTCCAGTGGTGGGACATAGTATCAAGTATCCCAGTAATAAGGTTGGGCAATGGTACCATGAAAGGCTTTCTAAGGATGAGCTGCAGATGTGCAAATTCAGAGTGTCCCCACTACAGCTGAATATACCTGGATGCTACAGACCCATTTTGAAACATGTTCAGAATCTGGCTTATTTTTTGGAAGTCAGTGAAAAAGGAATTGAAATTGAAGACAACCATCTGAATGAATCGAAAGTCTCTCTTCATATATCATTTGACCTTGATCCTTCATGTTATGCAACAGTTTGTCTGAGAGAAATAATGAAATGTGACTTTTAAGATTCCAGTTAATGAAAGACTCTAGGAATATAATACAATGGTGATATGTTATGTATAATGCCAAGAAAACAAGGGAGAATAACAGGTTCAAGCCAGGAACTGGAACAATTTGTAGACTGAGATTCATACTGGTTAGGAAAAAAAAGCCCACCCAAATCCTTTGGAATGTTCCAAACATTCCAAGCCCTAAATGGAACCCCTTGTATGCATTGGAGTAAAACTGTATTTTATGCTAGGCAGGGCTAACAGAACTTGAAGAAACCATGGGCTGCAAGCACGTATTTCATGTTTGCATAGACATCTGCCTTGCAAAGTTAAATACTGAAAAAATGTTTACAGTAAAGAAATGCTTCTTTTATTTCATAATCTTTTTTTTTATAAAGTGGTTTATACTAAATGCTGTTCAAGCAATGTTACAAGTTTGCAGCCTACAGATATCTAACAGAAAAGTTCCTGTACTGAGGTTCACTAAATACATGATGGTTTTGTTGTGTGCAGGCACTGAGTGTTAAAAGGTAAAAGTCCTGAATCAACAGTGACAAGTTTGATGGATCCCACAACTGAAGTTAATGCCAAGGAATCCAGGATTAAGTAGTGCATAGCTGTTAGGTAGAACCTATTCAAGTAAGCTCATCAGGATGAGGTGAGTAACTAACATAGCTACAAAACCATTCAAATAAAACCAGACCCATTTTATTGTTTACAGGACTCTATTGCTGTGAAGTCTTATGATAGCAAAAATATGTTAATGGAACCATCTCTGGAAAAAAGCTTTTACATTTTTTTTTTCTTAATTGAAAAAATAAAAAAGCATTTAATTGTGATAAAATGAGTGGATCTGTGAAAAAGGGGAGAGCAGGAAATGCCATTTGCTTTAACCAGGTGTGTGACACTGTTCCACAATATTCCTGAAACCAAGTTATGACATTAATGTGTGGATGGGTGGACAGCCAGCTGGGTAAAAAAAGGGACTGGATGATGAGGCCCAGGGAGCAACAGTTAATGGGTCATACCCTACCTGGAGTGAGTACCACGAGGGGCTGTCCTGGGCCCCATCCTGTTTAATGTCTTTGTCAGAGACCTGAATGGAAGGATGGAGTTTGCTATCATAAAATGTGCAGATGAATCCAAATTAAGGGGTCAGATGGATACTCTGAAGGATCAGGCTGCCATTCTGGGCAACCTAGATGTGCTGGAGGAGCAGGCCAACAGGAACCTTATGACATTCAGCAAGGATTAACGCAAAGTGCTGCCCCCAGGAAGGAAGCACCCCTGGAGCAGCCAGACTGGGGAGCAGCTCTTTGGTCATGGCTCTGGGGGACCGGTTGGCAGCTGAACATGGGCCAGCTGCGTGCGTGGCAGCAGGGGTGACCAGCAGCCTCCTGGGACACAGGCAGAAGATGGAGGGAAGGGGTTATGTCTCATTTTTCAGCACCTTCTGGACCACATTCAACTTCTATGTCCAATTGTGATCCCCAGCACAAGACAGACATCAAAAAAATAGAGCAAGTTCAGCCAAGGGTCTCCAAGCTATATGGGGACTGGAGCCCTTGCCATTTGAGGAGATGGTGAAGGAACTGGGCTTCTTCAACTTCGAGAAGACTCAGTTTAGGGGTGGAACCAACAGCAGCTCCACAGTACCTATGGGAAGGTTAGCAAATACATGGAGCCAGGCCCTTCATAGTGGTGCACAGCAGGAGAACAAGAGGCAATGAACATAAATTGATATGAGAGATTAAGGAATTTCAAAGGAAAATTTTAAACTTTTCCCCCTTTAGGACTGTCAGGCAGTGGAACAGGCTGTCCAGAGACTCTGCAGTTCCATGTGAGGAGGTTTCTGAGACCCAATGGGATAAAGCTCTGAGTAACCTGGTCTGAGCTCAGAGGTAACCCTGTTTTGTGGAGGCAGTTGGACTAGAGACCAGAGGCCTGTTCCAACCTGGATTACCCCGTTGCCCTATGCAGAACATTGCAAGTGTTTATTTAATCTGTAGATGGCAGTATGACAATGGCAAAGTCTACTCTTTTATTGAGTGAGAATCGCTAATATACATTGAGTTCTGTTTATGGCATCAGTCTTTCAGTTGTTGCTAACAGCTGAGTAAGGTAAATCTCCAAACACTGATAAACAGACCTAGAATTACAAGAATAGGAAAAATAGAAATACAGAAATATACTTCACATGATTTCAGTGCTTGTATAAAACTATGTAGCAATGAAGGATCCGGATAATTCACTGCCTCAAGTAAGAGGATTACTCTGTAAGTCTGTATAAGTAATTAAAAATTTGACCCTTAGCTTTTATATGCAAAAATAGGCCGTCATGCAAACAGTAGCTATAGAGCCACTGAAGGCAACTTACAATGTTTGCTGTATTAGAGTGCTTGCTATACACCTCAGGTTTATGATACAGAGCCAAACTGATACAAAAATCCATTTCCCTGCCACGACCCATCTGGGACAGCTTTCTTCCTGTCTTTGCTTGTCAGTATCACCTCTTTTGTCTTCCACCTGCCCTTAAAAATGCCCCTTTTCTGGAAGATTATTTTTAAATCGAGTTGTTTTGGTACAGCACAGCTCAAAAAGAGTTGTCCTGTTGCCCCTGGCACAGTAAAATGCTCCAGTGCAGACAGGAAGCTGCATGCAGTTGCAATGACCAGAAGAAATAAATTAGTGCTGAAGTTCTATTTAAAGAGACTATTGTGGTCTTCTTCAATGTCGCTCAAAACAGCCTTGACAACTATCTCATCACATACAAGATTTGAATACAGAAAGAATTAGAAGTTGAGCCTTGATTAGGAAAAACACAAAAGGTCAGATTAAAAGGGTTTTGACTGAAAGGCATGCTATTTTAAAATAAAAGATCAGAAGGTGGTGTTAAAAGAGTTCCCCTATAATCATTTTAGGCTCATTTGTCATTACTTCCATTGAACACTAAAAGGACTAATCTTCTTAAGCAAATCATTCTTTCAGCAACTTTAAGGTGAAAGAGCTAATTATGTGTGTCCATGGGTTAAATTCCTATAGTAGAAATGTTCTACTAGGGAAAAGTCAGTTTGCTATTAGAGTCTTTATATAGTAAACATCCTTCTTATTTCAGTTGGCATTTGTTTGTAATTCATTCTCTTAATCCTAGCAGCTATTTTGCAGGCTTGTGTACATGAACAGCTGAATCCAGAGAATTTCTGTAAGAGCAATGGTCACCTCCCTAAGTATAATCTGTATAAGCAAAACATCTGTGCCCCTGCATTTAGAAAAGAAGATTATCATTGTGCACTGATCTGAGTTTAAGGAAAAGATTGGTGTGTTAGTCATCTCTCATCTTACTAAGCACTTTTGTTGCTACCATCCTTTTCTGCTAATACTAATGAAGACAGGTCTCTGATTCTGTTTCTAACAAAAGGGGTTTTAAGTTCAATGGCAGTTGATTTTTTTCAGCACAGATGATAGGTAATTGAGCATGTGAATGGGAAAAATGCAAATGTTCGTAATCTGTGAAATCCTATTACTTTTAATTCATTACAAATTTGACAACTAGTATTATCCTCAATGAGAATGTACAAATTTTCAGATCTTTCAGAATGAGATGGCTTAAAATTACATTCCTATCAAAAAGGCAGTTCAGAAGCCAGGTAGACGTGTGATTATTGGCCTAGCTCACTCATTAAAACTCCATTAACTCCTCTCTCAGTGGCAGTGCCTGTCAGCTGGTGATTTGACCTCTTACACCCAGTTGATGAGCATAAACCTCCTTTCCTTTCTCTTGCAGAACTTCTGCCCATAATAAAAGCTCAAGGGAACAAGCTGAGAAACTATTAACACTTCCCTTTCTTTCAGTCCATGGCCATCCCTTACAGCCCACTGGTTCAGATCTAGATTCTTTGTAGCTGGAATGAAACCAGGAAGTGTGCTTCAGCTGCATGCCAAGCACCCAAATGGAGGAACAGGGATCCAAACGAGAAGTTGGTCCGTTGGATCGCTTCAGACCATATACAGTGGTGTGTTCTGCTTTGGAGTCTAGACAACATTTAGCTCAAAATAAAAACCCTGAACCACATGTTGTGCAAGGATAGGGGCTTCAGTGCTCCAGTATGTTCATCTGTTTATGTCACACCCAAAAGCTTTGTCTGAGAATGTTGTGTTTGCAAGGGAGGCAGAATCAATGAAGTCAGATATTTGCACCATCTGGAGTTACTTCATTCTGCTTAGTCAGAATCTTATATGAGAGAAGTTTAAATGCATTTTCAGCTTATGCATAAATGTTCCTACCTACTTCGAACAGTAAGGTTTTTAATCAGCTTTAGAAATGACTGATTAAAAAATCTCAATTCTATCTGTCTTCCAGAATATTCCTGCACTTCAAAACCCAGGACACCCTCTCCCACTCTCAGAAAAAGGCACTTTGTAATTTCACCTTCACACCTCTGTTCACATCTCTACTGATACTATGAATATGTGTATTGGGCTGATAAGTCAGATTTCTGATTTTCAGATTTCTGCATAAAAAGAATTGTAGTAATACATGGACAAACCATTCACTTGTGAAAGCAGGGCAGGAATCATTTAGTAATTTTATATTGATATTATATAGAAACAAATACATAGAATTAAACTGGGTTTGGATTTAGCTCTCTACAGCTGCAGTGGCTTGAGTCAAGGCTCAGTCTTGTGCCTTATCCTTTCTGCAATAGTTCCTATAAGTGGGTATGTAGAAAAGAGTAGAAATAGGGAAGTGTGTATGGTATTTATCCTCTAGTTTGAGTTCAGGCCATTTCCTGAGCCTGAGTGTTTTTCTATGTAATAACGCTCAGTGGATTTCTTTCCCAAGTATTTCTCATCTTCCTTTGAATATGTTCAACCTCTTCCCAGAGTTCCATGTTTGCTGCCTGTTGTATGAAGAGGCACCTTTGTTTTTTGTCGGTTTAAACTGCCTCCTTCTGACTTCATTTTATGATCTTTGGCTCTTGTATTTCTGTACAAGGAACAGTAAAGACTTCATCCCTATCCATCCTTGTGGTACTCAGCCATTTGTATGCTTCCTTTATCTATCCCTTCATGTAAGTAAG